GAATATTGTAGCTTAATTGACTCAACATCAGTATTTTACAAAACAAACTGTGAAAGCCCAAGTCTAATGACTAATGGCAACTTACATTTAATGGGCTGCACAAAGATTCTAAGTTGAGGATGGTTGGCGTAAATATAAGTTAGTCATATACGAAATGTGACCATATAGGGGACGAGACAGAAATGAAAAATGAGGGACTGAAAATGCCACACATTACTTATACGTTGTAGGGCCCATTTAGTTCTTCTGTTTGTTCTCTGTCAGTGCAGTAGTACTGCCAAGTGACCTAGAATAAATGGAAACATTTAGCAGATGTTTGAAGCCATCATCATTAACAAAGCCTCAGTTTTGCCAGTGTTTTCCATTGTGTAAGTTTTAAAATAAGGTGTCATTTTCTATGCCTTTGTAACCTACATATATATTATTCTGTTTAGTGATTTTACTTTAAAGGCACTCTTTGTAGCCTATTAAACATTTAGTGACTAGCCACATTATTTGTTGATAAGAACTATTATGTAATCATTTTGTAAGGAGCCAGTAGGGCTACAAAAAGAAAGTATTGGGCTAGGTACGTAGATGCTTACTTAGTACAGAATACAGATAAGCTGAAAGGTCGAGTTGTTTATCCTAGATGGAAGCACGTAGTACTGACTTTTATCTGACCACCTGTCTTGCTGGAAGATAGGTAGAATTTGTTTAAAAATACGATTGAGGTTTTGAAATTTATTAAAGCAATGCAGGCCCAAATCTTGTCAATTATTAATTCATTTTTGTTGCATTAGAATTATATTTTATTCAGAGTCAGTAGAAACGGATGGAGCAGAATTACAGCTTTCATGGGATAGAAACAACATTGGGTATGTAGTCTAGAGACTATTATGTTAAGTTAATCAGTTGATCTTTCTGAGCCTCATTTCATATTTATAAAATGGAGATAGAGCTAACTCCCACAGTTTCACTGGGACTTACATGCCACAGTGAATGCACATGAAGCTAACGTATGTTTAATAGTTGCCTGCATCACGGTTGTCTTCACTCAGTGGATCCATATGTCTTAGTTAGTTGCCTTGATTTCCAGGCTAAGCTTCTCTTCAAAATGGAAAATTCAAGGAGACTGATGAGTCTAGGGAAAAATGATTTAAGGTTGTGAGTTAGAAAGATTACTTTTTTCCCTCACCTTTAGCCCCTTAAATTTGAGAGTGGGGAATACCCACAGAAGGGTATGTTTTTAAATTGCTACTTTCCACTTTGGCATTAACAGATTTCCAGTTTAAAGTTACAAATTTAAAGTCATAAAATGTTGGTGTCATATGAGACTTCAAGGATTCTGGACTCACTTCCCCTATACTAGTTCATTTTCCATTTTCAGGGAAAAGTCTGAGGCTCTGTAAAGTTACATGCTATCTCCAAAATCAGTCAGCAAGTCAACAACAAAGTAGGGCTGAGACTTTTGTCCTTTCCTGAATTCTTTGTCTCAATTATCATGATACCACTTGCTGCAAGACTGCATCAGATTTAGCATGTAACATGAAAAGAATGAGGGTATTCACCTTGTCCTTGGTCCTTGGTGGAGCAGAGAGATGTATTTCTTTGTTACACCTTTTGAATAGTTTGTGCACTCTAGTTCATTCAGCTATTCGTATATAGATTATAAACACATTTCAATGATTTATGTAAGACAATTAACTTTAACCTCTTCAGTAGTAGGATAATCATTAATATTTATACAGTAGTTCCTGTGACCCAGAAGTTGATCTAAAGGCTTTACACAGATGGACTAATTTATGCTCCTTGACAATGCCTTTTGTTACCTTTCATATAAAAAAAGGAGCTCCCGAGGGATCAGGTACTGTCTGACATCACTAAGGTAGTGTGGCTGGGATTTGAAGGCCTCTGTCAAGTTGAAATAAAAAATACCAGAAAGATTCCATTGGCAGAAGATATCTGGGTGAGTGAAAGTTCCTATTATGAACCCTGGGTAAGGAAGTACCTTAACGAAATTATTAGGATTTATATGAGTTATGCAGGTGTGATTACAAAATATGATGAGTGTCTTAAGCATTTTTGTTATTACAGAAGACACATTGCCATGAATGCTCTTCAAAATACTTGCCCTCTGAAAACACACTTACCCCATCAATCGTGACACTTTCTGAAGTAATTCTGGAAGTGACTTCAGTTGTGCTATCAGGGTTGCCTCAGTGTCCTGAATAACTGAAAAACGTTTACATTTCATGACTGTACTTTGGGAAAGAGCCAGAAGTCACATGGTGCCAGACCTGGTAAAAGGGTAGAAGAGAACACATCATAATGGTTTTTTTTTTTTTTTTTTTGGTGGAACCAGGGATTGAACTCAGGCCTTTGCGCTTGCCAGGGAAGCACTTATTCTACTGAGCTATCTCCCCGGCCCCCATAATGGCTTTTAAAGCTAGCTTTTTCATTTAAATAGTATTTGATGACAGTCACCATATTTTTGATCACAAACTTGTAAAAACACTCATGAAAGAGCTTGTCTAGAATTGCTTCAGAAAATGGCAAGAATGATAGGGTAAGTGTGTTTGAAGTGAGGGGGGTATTTTGAGGTGGACTGATGGCACTGTCTTTTACTGTCATTTTTTTCCTCTAAATACATGTAATATTATTTGATCATCCTACATCTAACTCTGTGGGATCTTAATTGATCTATAGAATATGTTTATACTTGGCACATAGCTTTTGAAGAAAGAGCATATTTATGTTGATCAGTCCGGATGTTAGTCAGGGAGTGAGCTATTGTGTTGGGTCAAATATTGCTAAAGAGTTTTATTTTAGGATTCTATTTTCCTTAATATATACTAATAAAAGTATTTATAGCAACAGTGTATTATAAAGAAAAATTATCAAGAAGAAAAGGATTTCTATTTGTTCTTTCTTATATATGCGGTGGTTCAGGAATACTACTTTTTGTTCCCGAATTGATATGTACAGCTAAGTAAAACTTTTCACTTACATACATAGCACACATTTTAGGATCATTCAACCCATTTTCATTTGAATGATTTAAAGTCTGATTTAATGACAGAGATTGCATGATAAAACCTTGGACTTCCTATTAATTGTAGAGGGACAGTTACAAGTTTTCAAAGAGTTCACTTAAAGTAATAATACAAAAAGCTTATTTAATATTGTGCTACTTAGAAATAATATATTTAGGGCTGGGAGATAGCTCAGCAGTCTGAACATGGATCTGGCAAGTATGAGGACCTGTGTTCCGTCCTCAGTATCACATGCTGTGCTGGCCCCGTGCCGAGCCAGTCACCAAAACTGGGCATGGTGGCGTACGCATGTAGTTGCAGCACTACAGAGGCTGATACAGGAGGATCACTATGAGTCTGAGCTGTATAGTGAGACCCTGCACCAAATAAGTAAACAAATAATAAAAGATGTAAAAATTTTAAAAAGGAAATAATTTATGTAAATAAAATTTGAATAGCTTACAACCACTGGACTTTATGCTGACAAATACTTCACATTAAGAAATATTTTACTGCCCAGCTTTGAATTGTGATTTTGTGTGCATGTGTTGTTGGTGAGGAATATTGAGGTGACATGTGGTAGCAAACAGATTCAGTCTAATTTTTGAAGGTCTTACTGTTACAGATATATATTAAATTCTATTGTTGATGTGCTTGCTTTGTGAAATATATGTGTGGTTTAGAGGAGAATGCCACAAGGTCATGGTCTATGTTCAAGTGACTCTCATTTTAAGATGTATTACTTAGTGAAGAGGGAAAGAATGAAGATTCTCTAATGGTGTTTGTAAATAGATATCAAGTCCGCATCTTGTACAGCAATTAACCACTAGGAAGAATGTATGCAATGTGTTAATTATTGAAACTGTCCTACTGATTTGATTTGCAACTGTCTCATTGCTATTTGTTTCTCAATAAAATTAAAAAAAAAAAAAGAATGAAGATTCTCCAGTGCCTTAAAGGTCCAGTGGAAGTAATGATAATGGTTCTGTCACAGAACATGCAGAATCATAATTATTTTTAGGGCTACAAATTTCAGTGGTTAGTATTGTGTCTATAAGATTTATTTAAAAATTTAAAGGAAGAAAGCTAAGTGAAGAGGACACACTGGATTGAGTGGATTGGCACAGGTGCCACAGCATGCTGGAATGGGCTACAAGTGACGCTGGACAGCGTCTCTTGGTTGCTGGGATACTGTTTCCCAGCGTTTAATAGGAGCTATTGGGAATAAACTAAGTTTAAGAATTTAGAACAGGCATGATGGAAATATATTAAAACACAGTAGCAGCTGAATAAATTCATAAAAACACTACTGATGGTAAATGGCAATCAGGAAGCTTGTTTAATGAAACACAAGATTGAGAGGATGTTAAAAAAAAAAAGAAATAAAAAAAGCATAGCCTAGCGGGCCAGACCTCAAGACAAAAGATTAAACAACTGTAGCCGCAAATCTCCCTAGGGATAGACATCGGGGATTCTAAATAGGTATCAGTCACCTTAGAAAAGCTAGAAAGAGCCACTAACCCAACCCCTACAGGAAAAGCCCCCTTTCTGTATTCATGCTGGCTTGCTACCCCCTTCTCCATTTGACCCTAATTCAGTCAATTTCACTGAGCAATTATGCTTCTAATCTTATTGGTTGACCATTGTTTTGTCCTGCCTCATGCCCACCTGGCGCGTTCCCATATTTTCCACCTTAGGCCTGCCTCATCTCATTGTTTTGCTCCATAAAATCCCTAGAAAAGGCAGGTTTCTTGGCAACCCACGTGGGTCCCCTTCTGTCCTGTGTTGCACAGAAGCTTTCTTCCCCTCAAGAAATAAATTCTGCACTTAAAAAAAGCATAGTGTGTGTTCATCAACTACAATATTGTGTATTTAAATCCCTCCTCAATTTTCATTACGGTTGGGTTTCTATTCTGAAGGACTACAAAATAATTTTCCATGTTATCTTCTGCATTTTAAAGCTTTTTGTCTTCCTTTTCTAGGATTGGAGTGTGTATGTCTTTTGTGTGGCTATTCAAATTTTACCTGCCAAACAGAAGGAGCCTGTTTGGCCTCCGTCATGCTATCCAATGGGAAGGAACAGGTGGTCAAATCCTGTCTGTCTGTCCCAGAATTACAGGCCCAAGTCTTCTGCCATAGTTCTAACAATATTACCAAAACTGAATGCTGCTTCACAGATTTTTGCAACAATATAACACTGCACCTGCCAACAGGTAAGGGGTTTCTCTTCGTTCATTCCAAATTTAATTTTACTCTTGGGAAACTCTAAACACAATAGAAATCAAATTGTCTTATGTTTCTTTAAATAAGAAAAATCTGTTTTACAGTTCTTTTCTTTTTGACTCGTAAAGCTCTCTAGAGTCTACTGGAGTTGATTTTTTTTTTTTTAAAGTACTGCATATCCATGTCAAAACATTGACAGTAGCCTAGCAATAGGAGGAAAGTTGTCCGCATGAATTGTACTATTTGAAATGATTAAAGAACCTCAAGTAAAAGGTAAAATTGTATGGATTCTTTTAAAGGGAAAGAGTTGAGATGTACATCAAGGAGAGGAAGGGAAGAAAATGAGCACAAATCTCATCCACAGTGATAGAGGGTAGATCACCAATCTAACCCTGGTAGAAGTGCGGATGGATTGAGAATATGTGGGGAAACCAGAGGGCAGAGATAGTTATGTGGCCATATGTCTGGATTGCAGGTCATCAAAATACACATTTAAGGCATATATATTTCGTACTGAAATTATACCTCACTAAATTTGATTTTTAAGGAAGAAAGTTTGGTGTTTACTTTGAGAGTAGAACACAGTCTTCTGTGTCTTTAAGCACAAGGTTGGACTGGGAAGGACCTACACTGTGACTGCACTGAGCACCTGTGATTTTCTTCACTGCATATAAAATGTCCTGTCCCTTATGAACGACCTTTCTTTACGGTCTAAGTATTGTCTTTTGACCCTTGCTGCCTGGCAGAAGCATGGTCTTACGAACCATTCATTTTTGAGAAGACACATTAAAGAGGCCACTGCCACAGCTAATGAAGAGGTTTCTCTCCACATTCCCTTAATCGTTTATATTTGGTCATGTGTGAAATATAAAGAGCCTGCACCCTTGAGGGTGTCTCCTCTCCACAGAAAAACTTGGGAACAAAATGCTCACAGAGAAAAATGTTTATAATGGACCTTACCTCACCACCAATTCAATGAAGTCTATGGACTATGAGGCAGGGGGAGTGTCGTTGTTAAAAATAAGAATACAAGCAGCTTGAGGAGATGAAAAACACCAAGTATATCTTTCCCATGGAAAAATAAGAATTTTTAGGATAAATCAGGGTGCAAAAATGATATTGGGTTAGATCAATGCATGATATATGTCTGTTGAAATATCATGATGGACCCCCTAGTTTGTATAATTAATTCATGTTAATTATACAGTTTTAAAACATGATAGTAAATCACACTGAAATAATGATTTCTTCTATGTCTTAATTTTTCTGACTTTGTATCTTATTTTCTACTAGTGTGTCTTTAATACTTTGTTTCTCTCTTAAAGAGAAAGCATGCTTAACTGAAATTCAGTAACATTGTTTTCTTGTTTGCTTGAATAATTATCTTTTATTTATAAAAAGTGAACTAGCTTTTAATTTGTGATAATGATATTAACTTCCTGAATAAATAATAAAGGTTTTTCAGTTAAAAAGGCTGTCTATAAAAATTTATTGATATCTGCTTTACTTTATACCATTAGGTGTTATTCTCTGAGTTTCACATGAAAGAAGTAATTACAGAACATAATTTTAGGGGATTTAGCTTGCTTCTCTGGCATGTTTCTGAGATTCATTCATGTTGTTGGATATATCAGTACTTAATTTATTTGCTCAATAATATCCCATTGTATGGATAGTCTACAAGTTTAAAATCTGTTCAGAAACAACCAAGATGCCCATCACCCGAGGAATGGTTGAGAAAGATGTGGTATTTTTACACAATGGAGTATTATTCAGCTATTAAGAATGATAAA